CCCCAAAACCCCAAAACCCCAAAACCCCAAAACCCCTTTAATAATTAGTTCAGTAGAATATTATATTTACAAATATGTTTAAAAAGGACGACACTCGAACCCTGGGTTCGCTTGAAAAATCCAAGGATAGGACATTCAAAAAGGAAGATTTTATTGAAACTGAGTTAAAACAGTTGGAAAATGACTCAGCAGCGGTGCTGAACAGTATTGGAGGTTTATATCAGACAATGAAATCATCAAAGTCATATTTTAAGAATCCTAATTCATCCACATTCTCTTCAGCTTCCCCTTATTACTACTCAAAGATGGGTTCTGGCGGGTTTATGGACTCATCTAAGGGAAGATCTGGTTTCACCTCGAATAAATCGCAAGCAGAGCTACCCTCATTTTCATTAGAAACAACTTTCAAGAGAGACCTGGGGCAACTTAAGGAGTTTTTGACTAAAAATATCCAGAATAGGAACCAAGGACGCCAAACCAGAATAAGAATGGGTAATGGGAGAAAATTACTAGCCTCTGAGAAATTCAACCATGGGCTTATTGAGAACCAACTCATGAATTTAAAGCAAGATCTCAATATCGGCGCCAAAACTGAATCAAGAAAGATCTACCGTGTTAAGAGAGACCGCAGGCTACAGGAGCCGACTGATAATGAATTCAATGACTTAGTCGAGAAAGTCAAGAAGAGAGGCACTCAGTACGAGCTTAACTATATTGGCAGGGAGGACAAGAGAGTCTCTGAAAAATAAGATGTATCTCGATATTTGCGCTAAAATCCAAGACGAATTCCGTATTTTAGAAGGAAAACACCAGATGAACTATGACTCTTACCAAACTGATAAGGCCAAGACCTCCTCTAGAATGGAGGTAGATGTACCTAGAGATTTAAGAGGAGAGGAAATAAAGACTAGTTTTAGAAATGAATATGACGCTCTGCCAATCACCAAACACGATTCCAACACAAAGGCACTACTTGAAGGATACTTCAGAGGAGTACAGAGGTTCCTTGAGGATGCTAACTTTGATAAAAAGTTAGACATCAAAATGATGAACGAATTTTACGAGTTTGAAAAGAACTACCAAAACTCAGAGGATAGCTTTGAAACTATCTGGGCTATCCTCCTCACAGTGTTTGAGGACATAGATTACCTGACAATCAAGTCTCTTAGGGATAACCCAACCGAACTCGAGCGAAGGATGTGCAACAATACTTGTAATTGGTTCGAAAAAGAATTCTCAGAAAGCTTAGCATTTGATGACCTTATTGAGCAGTATGCCCAACCGATAGAAGATGGGGGTTTTAAAGTTACAGATGAACTTATTAATGCAGTCATTGATGGGATAGTCGATTTCATGAAAGATCATCAATATGAGTCTGAAGATACAACAGTAGAACTAGAAGACGGCACAATCCCAATCTTTGCCATCCTTTATTTCTGTATTAGAGCTGGACAAAGAAGAATAGCAGCTAATATTGCCATGAAGTCAGGTATTTTTGAAGTCAAAGTTATCCTAACTTTATTGAGAGTAGAAGAGAACTTCTTTGATGATGAATTTGAAGATCTTGATGAGGTCTCTGATTTTGTGAAGCTTCATAACACTGCTTTACAGTGTCTGACTAAATTATTAAGACGTCAGACTGAAGAAAGCGTAGATGGAACTGTAGTATACAAGAAAGACATCTTTAAAGAGGCTTTACTGAATCTTTTTACAAAGCAGACAACTGCTTCACATGCCTTGCTTAACACTAATCTATCCGATTATCTCTGGTACAACTTGAGGAAATGTCATTTCGAGGATCCAGCAACTAAATTTAGATCAAAGAATGTAAACACACTAACCTTAAAGACATTACAATCCACGATCCTGGAATATGGGGAAGGTTACTTCAATGCAGATGGTTCAAACCCTCTTAATTTCTACAAGGTTCTCATCTTGGTCGGCCTATTCGAAGAAGCTGTGAAGTATCTGGACACCATAGAAGCTCATAGAATTGAGAACACCCATGTTGCCATCTGCCTCAACGAGATTGACATCCTTCCAACCCCTGAAGAAGACGAAGAAATGGAGATAGATTCCTCTAAATACGCCACTAAGAAGAAGAGAAAACTCTGCTTGTTCACTAAAGTTATGAAGAACTTTATCAATTTCACTGGAGTTGATTACTTCAGCCAGAACTTGATCTACATCTCTCTGATAGAAGGCCCAGACAAGATCTCTATTTACTCAGATATCTTTGTGAAGCACAACAAATTCTCCATTCTTTTAGAGACAGATGAGAAGACAGGGCTTGATCTGATCAAGAAGAAGAACCTCCCACTCTCAGTGTTTGTGGTGAAGGATACCCTGATCAAGATCATTCACAAGGTGTGTAAGAAAATCTCTAGGATTAACGATGATCCTCATATTCTTATTCTACTCCAGAACAAGATTGGAAATGACGGAGAGGTAGTCAACCTCATCTCTAAGTACCAAAACCGCCAGATAGATACACACAAAGAGCTGATAATTGAGGGGGCTGGCAAGAGTTACTACTCTACTGCAGCTCTTCTCACCAAGGGTTCTAGAGTTATAGAAAGAGCCTTCAAGAAGTATGCTAAGATTATTGAGAAAATCAAGAAGAAATCTATTAAATCATTTGAGCATAGGGAGTACATGCAAAGATTGGAGGATCTGGACCTCCTAGTAGAGATCATCAATTTTTCACTAGACGAGAAGTATGACAAAGCTTTTGGGTTGATGAAGAAAGCTTCTTTCTTACCTCTCAACGAATCTATTGAACCTGAGTTTAACAGGCTTCAGCCAGAGATCTTGTATTCTCTGCCAGAAGTTATTTTGCTCGCCTTAGTAATAATTGATTACAAAATTAAGGATAAAAAGGACAGAAGTATGACTGGAATAATGCCTTCTTTCAAGTAACCCTTCATTCTAACCCTATAGCTCAACTGAGGAAGCAGAGACTAAAATATTGAGAGCTCAGAACTTAAGTTTGAAGGCCTATTTCCTCAAAATTCAAAAGATTCTCCTCGTTCAGATGAATGAGAGTTCTGCTTCGAATACTCAAAGACTTGCCCACTTGGACACTATATCCTCAAAAATCCATACTTACTAAAAAATTCCAAACTTTAGTAATTAACCGGTTGCAACTCTCTATAAGAAATTGGGGTTTTGGGGTTTTGGGGTTTTGGGGTTTTGGGG